TGTGTACTAAACCGGGATTGGACCAAAAAGAAAATGCACATTTATAGTGCCATGATATAAAATCACAATTCATGCATCAGGATGTCAAAAATCTTCTAAACAAGGGGCAAACACATGCTAGCAAGCTTGGTTAATTAACTAATAATCAACAAGGGAAAATAGTAAAAACCTTTCATGTACCTTGTGTTCTAACTATCCATGGAAGCTCCGTATTAAGAGATGGAGGATTATTCATTTGGGTGTCTGTAGAACTTGCAAATTTGCCCTTCTTAGACCAAAGCCAGATCTTAGAAACAGAATAGCTGTCGGTTTTTGCCCCAACACTAATCTTCTTTCCCTCTATATCGTCATCAGCAGAAGGATTGCCATTGTGATCAGTCGCCCTCACAAGCTTTAGATCACGACCATCTCTGTCATGGCTCAAGGCCACCCTGAGGTTTGTGTCACCTACCACATACTCATATGAACCCATTGAATAACACCTTCTTGCGTCTAAATTACTGCTACTAGTCTCTCCTCCTACCTCCCCTGCCCCATCATCCAATTTTCTGAACTTACCAAGCCTCACAGGAAAAACCCCCTTTTCAGCAACAATTTCCTCAATTTCAACTGTCTTCTGACTGCAAAACACCCTATTTCTCCCATTACTAGGAAATCCATCTTCTTCCCCTGGATCGTCAAAATCGAAAATTGGGTTATCAATGGAGAACTCGGGATTGAAAAGGGCCCCCCTACAAAGAGGACATGTTGAGTTTGATAGGAGCCAAGTATCTATACAATTGACATGGAAAGCATGGCTACACATTGGAAGCAATCTCAATTTATCTTTCCCAGAAAATTCACATAAACAAACAGCACAATCAAATGGCTCTTTTGGACCCACAATCTCTTTGTACAAGAAGACAGGTAATGCATCAATAAAAGCTTGATCCAGACCAGAGTCATGTAAATGGAAGAGTTGTTGTAGTTGCCTTTGGAGAGTATCAGAACTAGAAACTTCTGGATACCTATCCGATTGAGAGGATGTTGAAGACGGGTGTTTTGTGAGAAATCTAACAAGCAAGTGGAGAAGACCAGAAATGAAAAACAGAACAGCTAAAATTACTATGATGAAAAGAACAGCGGGACTAATTCTAGTTCCAGATGATGAGGAAGAATGGCTTGAATCTTTATGAAAATTACTAACACCATATGGAGATGAAGTTGAAGGAGAAAGAGGAGGTGGGTATGTCAAAACACCATCTTTCTGTTTGATTTGATGTTGAATCCAAGAATTTTTCAAATGGGTATGCTCAGATAACCATCTTTGCTCTCTAACTTCTGACATTGAACAGATCATTTGGGTACACTCAGAAACCATCCTCCTTCCTCATAGATCAGACCCAACTCATATTTTGATGAACAAATTAAAAATACAAGCACTTTCCTCCTGCACTCCAATGCTTTAGGTACAGGAATAAACCCCACAAGCTCAGAACTTTTTTCCTTAGAATTGAAAAGAAAAAGGGGCATCAGAAGGGTTATTGTGTAGTAGGTTTTGGTGTGCATTCAAGTCTCATATTTTATTGCTTCCAAAAAGAAACCTGAGTAACTGATAGAGCAATAATAAGAGAAAGATGGCACAAAATATTAAGGTTGAGTTGTCTACCAACCTTGATTCTCAAGAAGCCACCATTAATGTATCTCTAAATACTCTTCTCATGGACCCCTCCCTTCTTGCAGCACCCAAAACCCTAAAGCCAGGCTCTTTGAGGAGATTAAGATCCCAGAAATAAGAGAAGAAAAAGCAATAGTAAACAACTGATACCTCTGTCTTACTTTTTTTTTGATCAAATACCTGTGTCTTACTTAATACCTTCACAAATATATGTCAAACTAAATATATATATTGTCTGTATGTAAAGAGAGGAGGGTCTCTCTCTCTCTCTCTCTCTCTCTCTCTCTCTCTAAGCGGGTAGTAGTAGTAGTAGATGTGTAGAACCATAGAAGCCAAAGGCCGACACTGACAATAGTGACTACTTTCCCGAGCCAGGCAAAGGATGCCAAAAAGAAACACCTTTGTAACAACTTCAACGCGCCAAAGTAGCGCGTGAGAAATATAGTCAATCACAAGCGACAAAGTGCCTTATCATATGCCCTTGCTTCTGTGGGCCTGGGCTTGATTGGAAGGCCATTTCCACTTACTCCCGCTCTTCTGGGTGAGGTACACCAAATTAAATTTATTTGATAAAAAATATATAATAAAAAATATAAGACTATTAAATACTTAATTTTGATACTTATTTGTATCCAAATACATAATTTAAATTTATTTATTTTTATTGTGATATTTTTGCCCTTCATTAATTCATGTGTATTCAATATACCACTTTTCTTTGGAAAATAGTGCATTAAATATCTCCTAGTTTTATGAGAGAACTTTAATATATATATACATTTTAAATTATCTTTTAATACACCTTAATTTATGCATTTTTTTTAGAAAGTGATTTTATTTTCAAATTAATTTAATATCTGAATAGTGTAATAATGTAACAATAACAGTGTAACAATATAAAGTGTAACAATAACAATGTAACAATATAACAATAATAGTGTAACAATTTATTTACACAAAATATTGTACTATTATATTTTATCAAACATATAATTTCATTCAAAATAGTCCATCTCCGTTTTGAATTTGTTACTATATACACAAAACTACTGAACACTGTTTTTGTTACAATGTATTTGTTACACTGTTATTATTATACTAAAGATTATTTTAAAAATTATACATTCAAATGGTAAGTTTGATTTTAAACTTCAGAGTATATCGGACTCACAAAATAAACGGTAATATGAAATTATAATTTTTTATTAAGATAAATTCATATTTTTTAAAGGTTATATTAACATATATCAACGAAAAAGGATTACGTGTTACACGTGCACAAACTCCATGAGATGTGGGAGTAATATTCTAAACGTGAAAGAGTTCAAATGATTAAGTGACAAACATGAGAAGATCTAGGTATAATTTATCAATTTAGTTTTAGATGCACATTGATACAAATTTCTATCTTTAGATGTGTAAATTAAGATTTTTTATCTTTGGAGATGCACATTGATACAAATTTCTATCTTTGAGCGTGAAAATTGAGATTTTTTATTTTTTGGGTGCACATTGATACAAATTTCTATTTTGAGAGTATAAATTGAGATTTTTGATTTTTAGGGATATAAATTAAGATTCGAACTATCTTTTAGAGTACAACTTGCAATTAACCATTTTTCAAATAACTCTTTTTAATCAATTTTTATTAATAGTTGATTCAACAGTTGAAATTAAAATTTAAAACCTGATATCAAACATAAAAGTTTTACTCTTGAATATAGAAAGACTATTTTCATGACTAAAATCTTTGGCATTGATTACGGCACCACCAAAAAAATTTCAATACCATACCCTCAAAATTTTCTACTTCAAATTGTATTCTTATAATTATTGTGGGTAATTTTACAATAAAAAAAATTTATCACTTTTGTGGGTGTTTTAATTACTGTTGAAAATTTACTACTTCAAATAATATTTTTACAATTTTTGTGGGTCATTTTACAACTAAAAGATATGCCACTTTTGTGATTTATTTATCACTTTTATGGGTGTTTTATTAATCAATGTTGTGACTATTTTTATTACATTTGTGGTAAAACTACCACTTTTCTTAGGTACAAAAAAATTTATCAATTTTGTGAGTGATTTATCAAATTTGTGAGTATTTTTACTATATTTATAGATGTTTTTATTATTATTGTAGTAATTATTTTTATAAATATTTCAACAGTGANGATACAAATTTCTATTTTGAGAGTATAAAGTGAGATTTTTGGTTTTTAGGGATATAAATTAAGATTATAAGTATTTCAACAGTGATAAAAACACTCACAAATATAATAAAAACAACCACAAATATGATAAATAGAGGTATGATATCGATTTTTTATTTTCGATACTATAATCAAATCTTAAGTTTACATACACCAACATATTTTAATCATCTTTATATGATATAATATTTCTATTTCGTGTTCTTGCTAATGTTTCTACTGCATAATGATTGAGGATATTACATCCAATTTCTTCAATGCTTAGATCTAAGATAGATATTACTTGTGGTTGTGGGTTATATGAATCAATGTGCCTTTTTGAAGGATGACCATGGGAAAAGCTTCCTTGTAGTATTAAGGGTAAAGGAAGGTGAGGACAATCACATTCATAAGCAGTAAAATAAGAAAGATAATCAATAAGAGACATGCCATTAGGTAAATGAGGGATGATTTTATACTCCACCCTCCAAACCTAATGATGTGTTCCTCTTTTTTCTATTTATTATTTCAATTTATCATCACAATTGTCACCTGATGTTGATTTGCCATACATGCCACTTAACAAAGATATGAATTTATCTTTTAAGCATGCTCGATAGTCAACCATCACATGATACACAACTCCATGGATAGTGTACAGTAGATACCGTGACAGAGAACCTAACTTATAATTATTAGTTTTTGATCATGCCTTTGCAGTTTGGACACAGNAAGGATGACCATGGGAAAAGCTTCCTTGTAGTATTAAGGGTAAAGGAAGGTGAGGACAATCACATTCATAAGCAGTAAAATAAGAAAGATAATCAATAAGAGACATGCCATTAGGTAAATGAGGGATGATTTTATACTCCACCCTCCAAACCTAATGATGTGTTCCTCTTTTTTCTATTTATTATTTCAATTTATCATCACAATTGTCACCTGATGTTGATTTGCCATACATGCCACTTAACAAAGATATGAATTTATCTTTTAAGCATGCTCGATAGTCAACCATCACATGATACACAACTCCATGGATAGCAGTGTACATTAGATACCGTGACAGAGAACCTAACTTATAATTATTAGTTTTTGATCATGCCTTTGCAGTTTGGACACAGAAATACATATGGAAAATCATTTCAGCTGTTGTGTTAAGGTTCTTGTTAGGGCAGGTTTGGAAGAACTCACAGAGGGGATGGTAATGATTAGAGATACAATTTTCAATTTCAGTACTAATGTGGTGGTTGGTACCTACCAAAGGTAAAATAATCACAAACTCAATGTTACTCTAATTTCACTTAAGTTTTGGGCATTTTCTTCTAAGCAATTGGTTTGCAAATGTAATCATATTGTTACTATAAATAATTCTTTGACCCGTATCTCTTAGGTTTAATTGATACATGTGGCTTGTTTGTTTATCGCGTTTGGGCGAGTATATAAGGGGATTAAAGAAAAATAGTTCAATGAACTATCATAACCTATGTTTGGATGCATATCTCAAGCCCTGAATTTATAGGGGAAATGAATCATTGCCAGCTCCCAACCCACAATGTATTAAAAGTCAAGTATGGGGGTTTGATGAAACTCATGGAGAGTGGACTTCAAAAGTGAAAGATTATATTTGAAGACAAAAAGATTATTTTACCCAAAAATTTATTCTTCCATTCACCTAATAATGACATGTAGGTAAATTGAGTAATATAATTTGACATGAATCCATGAACCCCACATATATATGAGCGATGCTACCAAACATGAAATTGGATAGAATTTTTGATTGAAATCTCAAGTAGGAATCCCTCGGGTTGGGTTTGAAGGGGTTTCCTAAAACCAATCCAATCCCCCCCACGTGGATTATTCAACACATGCTTCTGTGGTTTGCGGGGTTATTACAGGTATCTGGAATTTATTTTCAGAGGAATGTGTTAGAGGTTCATCATGAACAAAAAAATAAAATACTAATTCTTACTGCTTTTGCTTACTAATTGACCTGACAAAACCACAAACTTTGGGTGATTAATCAAAACTATTAATTCAACTGTCCATAAAATGAAACTATTAAGAAAAAGTTGATATAAATTCAATTAGTTTAGCGCTGTTTGAACTAAACTTTAGGTAGGAAACTCAACTTTGAGGAGAAAAGTTTTAAAAAAGAAAACCACCTATTGTGCTCCTACTTGCTATGATTTTTCTTGACTATCTTACATTCTCTCTGACTGTAATGGTTGTCTTTGCACCACCAAATGTGCATGGAAATTATTTGTTGCAAGACTAGCTCCAAATGTGCACCAATGGAGCAAATCTTTGTATGACCATTGTGAAATATCTATCTAATCTTTCAGTTGACAAGCTCTATCCACTTGGGATTAGGAGTTGGACCAATACCATTTTGCATTGTAGGTATTGTTGATAGATTCAACTATGATATCGAAAAATAATTTTTCAGTGTTATATTTTTTACTTTTCATTTAATAAAAACATAACAAGTGTAAATTTTATTATACTTTATTGTTTTTTAATCAATATTTATAAATCATTCATATCAAAACTAATGACTGCAAATGAACTTTGCCACAGTACCATAGCCTTATCCACTGCTCCAAGGCAAAATTTAAGGAACAATTGCTACCCACTATCTTTCGCCTAATGCACATCACATTCATGTTGAAAAATCTTTGAATTTTATTGAGAATATTGGAACTCAAACAATTGAATGGAGTGAAGAGCAAACAAGAAGCACAAACTGTTGTCCGATTGACAACCTGGCTTGGCTTTGAATAGGAACGAGATGAAGAGAGGCAGCTCGCAAAAGGGCGAAAAGGGAGTCAGAAGAAAGCCAAAATATGCATGAACAATGTAGACATATAGCTCCATCTCATATCACTTATGGTTAGATATGTGAATCCTACACATTAACATGAACCAAATATAACACGAACTCAAAAATAACAAGGTCATTTAAGATAAATGAGTTGGATTATTCTTACGTTTATTTAATTGGTCATTGTAAAAGAAATATATACCATTTTTTTTTTCATTTTTTGATGTAGTACCATATGAACGTCGATAATTTC